CAGCTGGTAATGCAAGCAATCAAAATCAGGTCTCTTGAGTGCAGTTGCATGACACACATGAACAACAATCTCATTTCATAAAGAATTAACCCAGCAGCCAGCTACGTTAACTGGCTCCAATTCATGCCACAAAGCCTGCCTGATCCAAACACTGTAGTTCCTGCTTTACACAGGCAGAAATGTACTGGTGTACAGCAAACCTTTCTGGAGTCCTACCCTAACAAAGCTCCCTGGCAGAGGAAAAGAGTTTGGAATAAAGCACCAAACTGAAACCCAGAAGCTTTGGCTTCATTTTCTGTCTTTGTTACAGGCTGCCTAAAAGTAAGGCAGTCACTTAACCTCCCCGAGTTTCATCTTCTAACATACAGAGACAGTAATACCTCCTTTGGCTGTCTTTTTGATCTAGAGTATAAAGAAAGTGACATTATACCCCCCCACTCATCTCAGCTAAGACATCTAGGCACTACTGTGATTCTAATCAGTAACAGCATTAACTACTGTTTAAACAGAAGAACCTACTTCAGTTTGAAATTTCCTTGATTTTATCTAGTTAAAAAATCTCTTCATGATTTCTCTGATTTTTTTCCTTCCTTTTTGAGAGAAGGTAGGAAGAAAGAAGTGACTTGTTTTGGGTTGATGATTTAGTTCTGTAAGTGCTCCAAGTATAGGGTCATAGAGAAGAAACAGAGAACATAGATCTCAATGAGGAAAATTAAATTGGTAAATTTAATTTCTTTCATCAGGACCTCTCCTTAAAATGTGTTCTTTAGAACTTAAAATTAAAGATGATGTGTAAATGAAATTCCAGAACAAATGTGTAACTAATTTGTGTCCTTTTCTCAGTGAGCTACCTTAAAGTGACATGAGGTTCCCTCAATACATTCCCAGCATTTCATAGAGAACACACCTTGCAGTTGTCTGGTATTTTTTCTTCATGTTCAGTCTAAATCTCTCTCTCTCTGATGTGTTTCAAGCCATTGCAACCTTAATGATAGTCCTAAATAAGTTCTTCTTAGTGTTTACTACAAACGGTTATTTTGGGTAAGCAATTGCCATATTCCTCACTAGTAACCAATTAAGCAACCTGTAGCCACTTTCCTTTCTCTTTTTAAATAGTTTTTAACCGAAAGATTTGAACAAACTCCACCACATTCAGTAGTGCCAGAGACTGCCATTCAGAGGGTTTTATGCTACACTATCCTGTCTAGAGAAAGGTAATTCATACATCCAGAAGACAGGCTTTGCAGGCACATGTACATGTTTGTGTTTGAAACTTCTAGACTGACAACCCTTCAAATCCAGTTGCTTTCTCTTGGGACAGAAACATGAACCTTTATTTCTCTTTGATTTGAGAACTGACACCACTGTGATCTCCATTATGAGTCTAGCAATATTAAAGTGTGTAGTTCTTTACAGGCAGGACTGACTGCTTGAGTTGAATGACTACATGTTGACCTTGGGGGAGCTTCAGGGGTATGTGTTTGGTTTTTAAATTCATCTTTTCCAGGTTGTGAAGAAAGAAGCTTTTAGACGTTTCAAAATACATGTGGATTTAAGCAACAATTGATTTCAAGAGCATCTTATATTTTTCAACACTGCTTTATGAACTGATGAGGCTTAGTAGAGCATTTTTTTTTAAGATCAAAAGATGTGATAGTTCACAAAATATGCAATGAAGGAATAAAATCATTCCCTGCACACACCAAGAAGCACCACTACCTACCAGAATCCCCTGATAAAGGTTTCTTTAGCACAAGTCCAGAAAATTTGCACTCCACTATGCACATACTTCGGGACTGACAGGTGTCTGCCAGCAACAAAAGTCAGTCTTCTCTTATAAAGAATTACAATGCAGCAGAGCAGTCATTGCTAGTTCAGCAAGAAGGGAGGCTGTGTGTGATGTGCAGCTCAACTGAGAGGCATCAGAAGGACTCAGTAAGAGCTGGAGCTAGCAGGATCCTCAGGCCCCCAGCCTGTGCTTCTGCTTCTGCCCACCCTGGTCCCGTGGTGCACAGCTGGGCAGCAGCAGCCTGTCACTGCTCTAGGTACAAGGCTTCTGTCACATGAGCGGCCCTACGGCTGTTTTTAAGAAGGCAGGATTATTATTTCCTATGGCTAGACAGAGTTAACCCTCCCCAGAGACAAATATGAGCATTTGTGACAGAGACAGATGAGTTACATCCATTCATGGAAAGAAAAACAATCTTATGATCATGCAACTGAATTGTTTCTAATTAATTAATGATCTATATTTCATACTGCTGAAGCAGAATCTGAGACATACTAGAAAAAATCCTTCACGTGGCCCATCCTAATGGTGGCAAGGGTGTTGAGACAGACTCCTTTATTAACAAGGTTTTTTGAGCTTGTAACTCGTCCCTCAGTTTCATTCTCTTGTTGCTGAGCACACACAATGAGAGGCTGGTACCATACCAGGGAGCAGCAAGGGTCAGCTGCTCCCTGCATCCCAAAAGCCAAAGGGTATCCCAGGACCGGCAGCAAGGGAGCAGGGAAGGGCAAACCCCGATACTTGAACCAAAAATCAAACTCAGCAGACAAGTCTGTGGTGATGAGGTAGGTCCGAGGTCAGGCCCGGCAGGATATGTGTTGGGTCTGGTGATCCTTGGTAGGGCCGTGGTGATGAGGCAGGGCCAAAGCCAAGGCCAAGCTGCAGAGCTGGTGTGGGCTGAAGCCTGGCAAAATGGATCCCATGGCCAGGAACAGGTCTGGCTGCAGCTGAGCTCCTGCTACAGAGCCCAGGGCTGAGCTGGAATGGGGCTCTGGGGCAGGGCTGGGCTGGTGGGGATGCTCCAGCTGAGACTGGTCAGGGCTGTTAATGCTCTCCCAGAGAGATGCACTGTGTCTTCAAGTTTTCTTGGTAACTAAACATCATGAGGAGTGCCATATATTGGCCTGCCAGATAGAGCAGGACTTTAATGTTACACAAAAAATAATCTGATCCTACAAACCCGTGTATATGTCATTGAGATCTTATTACAGCCTGGGTAAGAGGATGCTGGGTGTTTGCACTGATGAGGCTATTTCAGTATGATAAGCTGCACTAAGTGGGCTCAGTTTTGCATCAGTGGAGTGTATTTGCATATTGCACTGCCAGGGAAAAGAAAACCTTACATTTTGCAAGAGTTTGCCACGCACAAAAATGTCACTGCAAATATCTGAGTTTGTGAGCAGCTCCCATGAAGGCAATACTCCATGGAAGGTGCTAGCAAGGGTGAATTAAAGGGTATGTGATATTTCCAGGATTTTGGATGCTCAGTGGAAAATTCATCTATATAATACTTTCAGGACTTTTTACAATATCCATTGCCTTTTGATTTATAACATTTCACATGGAAAAAGACTGGCAAATATTTTCAGCTATATGAATTCAAATAATCTTTTGAAAGAATCATTATTAGAACTGGCCTAAACTCCAGCCAAATATTCCTATTCTCTTTCACTTCAACCCTTGATGTATGCTTTCCCGTAGAAAGGAAGCCTGGAAGAAGTTTTTTTCCTCCCCTACTAACTGCTGATTTAATTTTTGCCTTTCACCAAGTTTGGTGTTTGTTCATTTGTTTTTTTTTTGTTTTGTTTTGGTTTTGTTTGTTTGTTGTTGTTGTTTTTAGGTTTCAATTTTTTTTCCATTTTAAAGGTTTTGAAATGGGCAGAAGAAGGCAAAATGTATCTTATATTTTCAATTCTATGCTGTACTTTGAATTTTTGTCTTAGAATTTTCCCATAAGTCTAATGCAATCTTATTCCTAAATTAATACAATTGCTTTTAGCCAGGACCTTGAAAAGCTGGCACTACATAAGAAGACAACTTTTACATGTAAAACCAAATGACTTACTATCTCTATAAAATTGTAGAGACATGCTCATACATGCATATGCACACACATTTTTGGTGCAATGATATATGGTTTATATATAGGCTATTAAAATAATGTAAACAGTCTAAACAAAGCAGATTACCAGCAAAACGTGCAGTAACAAGTTAAAGATCACAGTTGTATTCTCTAAGTAAGTTGAGAAGAGTCATAACATGAATAATTTCTTTCTGCTTCTACAACACTTGCGTTCAACACTTTATCTACACAAGTGATTTAGGGGACGGGGGAGAGATCCTAAGGCTCCAAGATTGTTTCTCTAGCCAGATTCAGGCTGGGTCTTGTTTGGCTGCAGTGTAGACACACCTTTCAAACAGCAGCTCTGACAGAGACACCAGTGTGGGAGAGGCCATTAGGCATCTGTTGTGCCCTGGAATTTAAGCAGAACCTCTGGTATATAAAGCAAGAGCCCGGCTGAAGCGCTCATGGCTCCCTCGGCCGTGCTGGCCATGGGGCGAGCAGAAGGGAGCCTCCTGCCAGCCGCTCACCGGCAGGGCGGTGCCAGCGCAGAACAAAGTGTTACCTCCAGGCACCCCGGGGGAAGGAATTAATAAACAACCTCACCCACGAGCTGAGGCTGCAACAGTAACAAAAATGAAAGTGATTGTAAACTGTGTTAATGCATGGATAATTCTCGTAGCAAATAGAACAGAAGGCACACAAAACATTGCTTTGGTAAATGGTGTAGAAAAAGCCTGTCAGCTATAGGTGTCAAATATATCCTTTGTAGTTTCGCTGAGGTATTTTGCAGCAAAACAATCAAGACAAATATGCAGAGCCCAATTATGGGACAAGAATCTTCTTGCACTGTGGTGCTAGGAGTTCCCTGCCAGTTAGCTTTGCAACATTCAGGTTTTTTATACTGTGCTGGGACTGTCTGAGAGATCAGATCCCAAGTAAGATGCAGTCCAGCTGCCAGGTGTGTTTGTGTAGCCTTGAGGGCACAGGGGTTGCATGGGTGAAGTGGAATCACTTTCCCCACTTAAACTGTGCCCGTTGAGAAAGAGCTTGATGTTTAGTTTTTTTTAATTTTCTTTTTCCTATTTTCTTTCTTTTTCCTATTTTTATTTTTATTTGGCTGTAACAATGTGCTTAATTTCTGGCTGATCAGTTTCTGTGCTTTATTATTGATGACTCTGCAGTTGGACTCCCCAAATGGTCATCCATCTCACACTGTGCACAAACACAGGGTCCTCTCCATCCCATATCCACCAGAAGGTGCTCCAGCAAGTGCTGAGTAACCTCATGATTTTGTCAGATCCCATAGGTTTGGAAAAATCATTTGCCGGACCACCAGGCAACAGGCAGCAGTCACACCTGGCAAGCCTAAATCCAAAAGGGAAAATTATGGGATTTAAAGCCATCAGGGACCATTCCACACCACATAGCAACTCTCTGACTTATCCCATGCTTCAGCACGGGCAAACAGAGAGATGAGGGCCCTGTCTGAGGGCCCTGAGAGCAGGTCCCCTCCCGGCTGTTCGGCTGTCTGGGCTCAGGGCCAGCTTGGAGCTTGCAGAGCTGAGAGCTGCCCCACTCCTTTGCTGGCCTTGGACACAGCCAGGGCTGATACCACTTCCTGTGGGACCTGCTTTTAAGCTAAGCCCCTTCCATCAGGCCCCATCTGAGCTAAAGCTCCTGCCATGCTGCAGTCACACCTGTCCCTACCTCTGGACCCATTGCTTTGGACCTAAACCCTGACCTGGAGATGACTTCCAGCCTGGTCTCAGACCTGCCTTTTCACCAGGAACCTGCCTGGTGTTCCCAGGGCTGTGCCTGATCCTCGCTCCCGCTCTGGACCTGCCTTGCTTGGCTCACTGGGGGCTGTGGGACTGCTGAGACTCCTGTCCTGCCAGCTGTGTTGGTGTCTCAGCTTCCAGCTCACCTTTCCTTGCAGAGAGCCAGCTATGGCTGCTTCCTGACAGGCCGTTCCTCTCAAAATCTCCACAGCTTTTAAAGACGGATGATCTCAGCAAAAATATTAACCCATTTTCCTTCATAGAAGAACAGAAATGGTGAATTCATCCAGGAATCAAACCTACCATTGATGATACTGAATCATGGAAGGAGAAAATGAACAGCCTTACATTGTTTCCACACTCCCAGGGATAAGAACGCTGGTCTGGACACCTTGGGAACTCTTTTTCTTAGATCACTAGCTTTTCTCTACACAAAGTATAGAGGTGTCGTGGAAATAATTCCGTGAATTCACAAGCAGAAGAAAATAACTTGTGCCAGCTGTGGCACTTAGAACCCTTGCAGTCCGGTAGGTCTTTCAGTTTTGTGCCCTTCAGCCCAATGTTGCAACTTGTATCACACAGGTACCATAAAGAGTATCACTGCATCAGCAAGCGGCATGAGACTAAAAAAATGTTAAAAAATTGCTCTTTGAACATCAAGTAAGTCAGAGGGGGTCTGGAAAAGATGCAGCCAGCCCATCAGGATCTTTTTTTCTTCTTCCCCTTCTTTCCTCTCATGCCTTCCTCCCTCTGCCCCTGCTGATTTTGCTGGAGACTCGGCCCTGTTCCTGGAAAAATCTATTTGTGCCTACTGCTAAACTCTGCAGCAGCTGCTCAGACCTTTTGCTACCACTGTGTTGTGATGCAGTCATGATTTTACCAGAAAAGTGGTGTTCGCCTGCCATGAACCCGAAAGAGTTCAACACTGATTAGGAAGGAAGGCTGGCAGGCAGGCAGGCAGCATGACTGACTAAGCCTGGTTTCCTTAGGAACCCAGACTGAAAAAGTGAGAAAGTAAGAGCATGTGTGTTCTGGTAGGCAGTGAATAATCCATTAAAACTCTTAATTAAAAATTTAAACATGTGTCTGCTAATTACATCACCCTTCTTCTGCCCTCAAAAAGCAGCAAATGAGCATGGCTGCACACCTGCCTGTGTGTTTATTTCCTTAGGATGCTGCTCACTTGCTCAGCAACACAAATACCAGCTCAGGTAGCAGCTGCCATTGTAAAAACATTCTGGGGAAAAGTGATGACAAATATTTTCTTTTTGTTAATGAATGGCCAAACTGTTCACAGAAATCCTGCTCACTGTTGCTGCATGTCCTGAATTTGTTGATGTTTTTCACATATCAATCCTGATGCTACGAGCTCTCATCTCAGGCAGGGCTATTTAATGCCAGCAATACACACTTGGCTGAACAGCTACCTGAAGACCTGTGAAAAGAGAAAGAGATGGAGTAAATGTTTTTAAAAAGCAGGCTGCAGGGATATGGAAATGAACATGGGCATTGTCTGTAACTTCAAAACCTGCAGAGAACTGCCAGCGCTCTGGAGAGCTTCAGTCCTGCAGTGATAGTGCAGTGCTCCACATTTGGGGTGAGGAGCCTCAGCATGGTAAAGGGACAGCTCAGATTAACTGTTATCCATGCAAATGGGCACTCCTAGGAAATGCTGCTCTGCTACCCCTGCTTCCCCCTCTGTCAGTTACCCTGCAGTGAATCTCCTCTGGTATATGTAGCTTCTTCAGCTGCTCTGAGTTGGCTGGGTTGCAGCCACTTGACATCGGGCCACAGCCTCTGATTTGGGAAGGCTGTTTTATTCACTGCCTAGAGGAGAAGGATCATGTTCAACATTGCTGTTGTTATTTATTACAGTCATGAATTTGGCAGGAATTAGCCAGATTCTGGCAGGTAGCGTATGTCTCTGTACATCAGCATAACTGTGCTGCGCTAGAGTGGGTACACTGGGTGAAAAATCAATTCCCTGGTTTTTGGCTCCTGTCAAAACAGGCACAGGCCAGAGCAGGAGGGCATGTGTGTCCACTGGCACACATATGGACACTCTCACCAGATGCTCACCCAATATGCTCTCCTCGAGACCTGCCTTCATACCATGGTCCTGCTGTGGCACAGACTGCTGAACCTCTTAGGAAAGAGCCCAGCTGGGATGTGGGTTTGTTTCCTTGGGGGTACTGAGAACCTCACTGGTGCTTCTCAAGGCCCTCCTCGATTTGACCTAAAAAGGACTCAACAGAGAACAAGAAACTCTGAACTCCTACACCCCGACACTGTGCATCACTAACAAAGCACTGCCTCAAGACTGAATGACCTTCAGAGGTTATCTTTAAAGCGAAATTTTAATGCATTCACTGACTGTTTAAAAGCTTCACAGATGATGTCTTGGGATGACGTACTGGAGAAGGCTTCATTATCCTCAGGGGTACAGACAAGGAGACGGCTGCTCCGCTGCTGAGTTTCCCATGTTGGGCTCACATTCATCCAAGATGGCTGGAGCCAGGCAACTCAATTTAGGGGCTGCCAGAGTCACTGAGTGATTTTCATTGAAGCATTTGTTATTGCAGGGTAAAGATAATAACTGGCCCTTCCTTTTAAAATATGGAGGGGTTTGTTAAAATCTGAGGTATATGTTGAGTTTAGAATGCCATGGGGCAAATCTAGGAGCTTATGAAAAGCCCAGGCAAGGCTGTAAGGTTAATTGGCTCTAGTCAGAAACACTGTGACTGGCAGGATTGGACTCTCATCACAAGGGAGGGAGCCCAGAGGTGCAATTCAAACTAAAGGTCTGTGTTTACAGGGTGTTAGCTCCCAGTCCCAGGGCTGAAATTCCCTGAAAGCTCCTCTCTGCTCCTTCTGCCTTTCCCCAAGTTGACAGGAGTGTGAGTATCTGCATGGTTTACTCGGTAGAACCCTGCTGGAGACCACTGCCCTGCCTTGTGGGGGTTGGGGAGGGGAGCTGGGGCGAGGGAGCAGTTCGGGTGTGTGACACAGGCTCAGCCACTCTGCTAAACGCCCTCAGGTCACTCTGCTGACCAGGCTGAGCTTTCTGTATTGCTTTTGCCCAGCTGGAAGACTGCAGTGGCAGAGCCCTTGAGGATAGCCTGAGGCACTTTACTTGTTTGTCCTCTCCAGCCCAGACTGGACAGCACAGAGTGAAGCAGTATGGTGGGGGCAGCCAAGGCACAGACACAGGGCTTGGGTTTCTGCAGATCAGCATCATCACCCTGTGTGCTGCAGTGGAGGAGAAGCACCCAAAGCTTACACCAAAACCTGTTCTGGGAGTGGGAGGATGCATCCACAGCTGCTCTCCCCAGACAAAGCTCAATTATGTTCCATTTGTGTAAAGAATGAGTGTGTTTAATCCATAAACAGTAACAACCAAAAAGTCATCTCATTGAGTAGCAAGATCATCCACCACTTGGGAGTATCCAGAACTATTTACAAAATGTTTTCATACTTCAACAAGGAAGAGACTGCACATTTCTGACTGCAGAGCAGAAGGCAATCCTGTAATAATGCCTCATCTTTACCAATCATTCCAAATTATTCACATGAAATATCCTGCTTTCTCTTTTGGACTGTAATGAGGCTCCTGTTGAACCAATTATTCACTAGCTATTCATGTATTGTCAAAAAGGAAATCGCAGAAGCTTTGTCATTAGTAATAAGATTTGATTGGCAAGGCACATGGCTTTGGGGCGGGTTTGCTTATTCCACCTTTTTGCTCTCAAGCCATAGCTTTCAGCTGGCAATTTCCACTGCTATAATCTGATGGAAAGTGATAAAATGCATCAGACTGCAGTACTCAAATGAGAAAACACTCCAGATTAGTAGGAATATAATTATGTTTTTCGTGACATTGATTTTTTATTTTCTAACTGATAAAAGTAAACAACTAAGGGGAGGGGGGGGAGTGCCAAAACCCAACATTTAGACTTTAGTGGGATAATTAACTCAGCAATTAAACATATTTTGTATGCAGCATTTGTCCTCCAGAGCACACAGCATATGTGACGTTTGTCCTTCATTCAAATTCTTGCTTCTTGCTTCTTGCAATCTTTTTATTTCAGCAGGAGTGGCAGCCGGTGGGAGTCCTGCACGAAGGCCCCTTCCATAGCACTTCCCTTTTAAAGTTGAGTATTCATAGCTAGGATTTGGAAGGAAAGGGGCAGCCAAACAGAATTGTGAAATGAGCAGAATTGAGAGGCAAGAGGTCTGTGCAACAGGCATTTGTGTCTGGTTTATTTTGCCAGTGATGTTTGGAGGGGAAATAAACCAAGCCCCTTGTGATCCTTTCTGCCCTGTGTGCTACCCAACAGCTGCACAATTCCGCTGTGATTGGGGCTGCAATGGCAAATGCCCTGTGCTCTGCACCCACTTGATATCACTGATAGCACTGGGATGGGCACGTTATATCCATGGTAAATTAAAGAACAAGAATTAAATCAAATTAAATCAAAGAGGCCAGATCTAGGGCTCCCTGCTGGTGTAACAGAGTTGATTCCTCACCACTGTGTGAAATACAGGAAGAGATATAAGCAACAATGGATTGTTAGAAATCTCACTGGCCTTTTCAGCACAGGATAGTTCTTCCATCCTCAGTTCATCAAAGAGTGAGTGAGTCTTCAGGGAAGCTGATTTTCTCAGATTTTCTCCCCTGTGATACAGAGGAGATGTCCTCCTCACTGCCCCATCTTTATCTCTTTTAGAAAAATGAGGTCATTAGGAAAAAATTCCTCATCTAGGATAAATAAAACACACTCCTTGTGACTTTGTAGGTAGGATGAGCAAACACTGCGTCAGGCAGAGGTGAGCAGATCTGTCACGCTCAGGATGACACAGTACTTCTGCATGTCAACAAAAACTGCGAAGCTGTAGCTGATACTGTGCAAGTTAATACCCAAGCACACTACAATTATCTTTTTTCTTTGAGACAACAATATGTGAGGCTTTCTTCAGGGCAGAACTCTGAGCCTCAGGGAAACTCAAATAACTTCCTATTCCGTGAGACTCCCATGGCCCAATTTAAGCTGCTGCTGCTGCAGGGTAGAAGGGCTAACTTCTGAGCTCGCATAAATTTCTATAGTAAACACACTATGACAAGTCATTCCAAATTAATTTCTCCCTTTCCCAAGCTGAATTTGCTGGGTTATGTGCTAAAATCTTGTTTCTTGCTTTGTCCTGAAATGTTGTGGTGCATAATAAACATCAAGTCTCAAAAGGCTGTTTTACTGCTAATTTCAAGCAATGAAATATATCACGTACATATTCACGTTACATGCAAAACACCCTGTATCTGGAGCACAGCCTTCCCCAGATCCTGAGTGTTCATCTTGTGAAATCTGTCACCATTTACGGAATGCAAAAGTTGCACTGACAAACGCTTTTTACTATCAGACATAAAATGTGTTTGTTATTGTACTGACCTTGGGAGACAAATAGGGAAGCTTTGTCCTTACCCTGCAAGACAGCCACAGCAGCTGGCTATGCTTTAGGACAGGCCAGACTAAAATAGGTCTGTCCATGTGAGAGGCTGATAGAACAACCCTGGAAATTGTGCAAGTTGAGTGCCATTAATAGACCCCAAAAGATGTAGTATCTCTGAAAATGAACCCCAAAGTTAGATCAATGATTTAATTTATAATTCACTGATCCACAGATATGACAATGATCTAATGTTTTGAAAAAAGCTACTGTGATTGCTAACTGCCTCACCCCTTAAAAAAACCCAAACCTACTCTTTTTATAGAGCTAACTGGGGCAGGAGGTGTGTTTGAGCTCTGCCTTGTCCTCTGGAGGGACACGGTGTAGCCAGGGCAGCATGGCCTTCCAATCACTTACATTCGGTAATTACCACCACAGAGGAACAGCCAGCAAATATAGAGGGGATGAGGGAATGTAACTGTTCCCAGGGACCCAAAAAATAGGTATGTTCCAAGTAGAGCAATTTTTAAGTACAGTGAAGTGTTACTTCTAGCATGGATAAGAAAAATAATAAGTAGAACGAGAGGTGATTTTCAAGCTGAACCTTTCTTGAAATATTCTCTCATCTGCTGTTATTATTCCACAGTAATGCTTCTTTTAGGGCAATATTTTACACCAATGTTACCATCTCCATGGCACCACAGGCAGGGAGGCTTTCTGAGCACACAATTTCTCTCACACTCAGTTTAGGAGCTCTTCCATTTTTTTATGCATTTACACTGCACCACTGACTTGAGATATTTGATCTAGAATAATGATAATGATTTGCTTTTCTTCATTCCAGCCCTTACTCAACCCCCTTTACAAATGTCACTCGGGAGTGCCAGGGCCTTGGGAAGCAGAAAGCCCAGCCAAAACTTGCCTGTGAGTACCTGGCAAAGTGAGGGCCTGAAGACAGATGCACTCGATCCTTCTCTCACTTGAGAGGCAGCTCAGGTCGACATGACTCTAAACTTTGGAGACGATCTGCCTGCTAAGCTACAGCACATTTATGATTTGTGGGTTTCAAGTTTGACTTGGCTTCATTTTTTAACTTTTGCGTTTGGCAGCTGACGGCTATTAACTGTCACACTCCAATAACCAGGGGGTAGTTAGAACAGCATTAAATATTTGCACTGTGCAGCAAAAGGCTATACTTCATCTCAGCACACATGAATCCTGTGCTCTTTTCACACTGGAAGAAAACCCACCTTATTGCTATTCAAATCTATCCGTCTCTCTTCCCATACTGCCATTACACATGCAAGGCTCGTCAGTGTCACTGACACAAAAAACCCCTCATGCTTCATGCCAACACCAGTGACACCTGAAAAAAAAACCCAGACACAAAAGAATTACTGTTTTTAAGAATTTTGTTTATCTGGTCTTCATTTTCTAAAGAGGTCACTTACTCTATGTATTTATAAAAGTATTTCTCCTGCCCTGCAAGGCTGCATGTTTTCTTTCACAAGAGCAACTTACAGATAATCCTGTATGAAAAATATGAGTTTTGGTAATTGAGGTTTGTCCATTTTGTATATCCCTGGTTAAATTATGAAGCTCTGTTTTGAAGACAATTTTTTCCCCCTCCTCATCTAAACTGCTTGAGTCTAATCTTTTAGGAAATATCCTATATAGGTACTCCTTGTGGTCCGCTTTTAAAAAAGCAAAATTTATTTTGGCCTCTGCAGGAAGCATTTAAAGCACATAATGAATAATGTTTGACACAGGAGTCAGTTAGCAGTCATTTTAGATTAATAACACTGCCCAGAAAAAAAACCTTGCAGGGGATTAGACCAAGGGAAAGATGCTTAGGCAATAACCTCTGAGCCAGCTGGTTGCTGAACTATTCACAATAGACATAACTATCTCTGAAGGTCTTAAGTGTGAGAATTATCTCTGGGAAGAGAACAATGAGTTAGTGAGATATAAAACAATAGTCTCATGCTCTAACACAAGCAGTTAGCGCTGCACATGTTCTCAGTTAATCTGCAAGACTTTCAGACAGTAGCAGTTGGTGCCCAAATTAAGACTTCCCCTTTCCCTTTGATCTTATGTAAAAACTAATGAATTGTATAATCTCCAACACCTCTGAAATCCCGCTGGTTAAAGGGAAACTCTCCCTACCTTTCCCATGCCTGTCTCAATTCGCTAAATGGGAGCTATATTTAACAGCAGGCCAATCACATGATCACTGAAAAGGAACAGCACAAGGATCTGTAATCCTAATGCTCTGGAGCTGTGATTGCTATAAATCCTTTGCAGAATGATTTCCTTTAAATCCCAAACATGTCATCACACTTTCAATTAACATTTCTTTATGAAAACTGTGGATAAGACCCTTTAAATTAAAGATTTTTCCCAGACTTGTCATCTTAAAACAGTGTGCATTTCTATTGTCATTTTCATGTAGCATATTTTATTTCACTTTCATATAAGTAAAGCTTTTTACTTCCCCTTTTCCCTCCTTTCCCTCTCCTATCTTAACCCTCACACAAGTAGTAACAGCTAGTGCTATTTTTCAAGGGTAAATAAATAGCTCTATGTTAGTTCACACACAAAATAGAGCATTCAGATATTCAGAAAACCAGCAATGAACACAGGCAGAGATGTGGCTGATACTGCCTTACTTGAATTACTCTTACCACTTTCACTTCTGAAGTTTACCATCTAATTGAGCTCATCATCTTTACAGATAGAAAGGGATTGAGAAGAAAGTGAGTTGCCCGAAGCTACACAGTGGATCACCTGCAGAAACAGAAGCACAATCTTTATTTCCTGATTCCCAGCTCATCATTCTGTTCAGCTACTTAGCATGTGGCTTTCAGAATACTGGGCCTGTTTCCTTGACTGTTTATCTGAGCAGCATTGCTATCTACTTGGTATTAAAACAAGTCTAAAATGCTCAATGCTGGGCTCAGGAGATGCAGTTTTATTTCCAGCAAAAGGAAAGTTTTATACAAGTGAGGGATGCTTTGGCTGTTGGCTAGTGGGAAATGGATTTCCAATATTTGTTTTCCTGATAGTAACCCAGGTAAAATGCTGTGTTTGAATAATGGCTTAAGTTCAGTGACAAGAATCACCTCTGCCATCCCATCTGGGATTTGAGACAGTGGCACACAGCTCTGGCAGACAACTCTTTCAATGATGTTTTTCAGAAAGCCCAGTTTTCTGGGCACACCTCTGTGTGGAATAAGCTGGAAGACAGAGGAAGACTGTGAGAGAGAATATTAAGGGTGACAACATTAGCCATTATATAGATAACCCCCACTTCAGCAGTAAGAAGAAGGCAAAGAATACAGATCCTGAAAAAAATCCAGAATTAAATTGTCAGGCAATTTGACAGCACAACCTGAAATTATTTAGCATGATTTAGCAATATGTTTCTAAGTATCTATATAGCATCCAAAAACATCCATTGACAGATATTGGAGAAATAATGAATGGCTAAATAGAGCAGGTCAGACACTCTGACGCCCTTCTGTGAATTGGGTAGTAGTTTATTCCTCAACTGCTCCCACTGGCTTCCAATTATGCTTTGTAGCTGACACTCAAAGCCAAATGTCAGTAGCCCAAGCTCATTGAACAGATCAGTGCAAAAGCTCAGAACAAAACCTCTGACTTGACTCTCTTGCATCCTGACCTGAAAACAAGAAATAGAGGAAGGCTGAATGGCAGGTGGAAAGAAAGGAAAAGGAAAAGGAAAAGGAAAAGGAAAAGGAAAAGGAAAAGGAAAAGGAAAAGGAAAAGGAAAAGGAAAAGGAAAAGGAAAAGGAAAAGGAAAAGGAAAAGGAAAAGGAAAAGGAAAAGGAAAAGGAAAAGGAAAAGGAAAAGGGGTGTCCATAGTGTTATGACTACTTGCCTATACATATCCTCCTTTTCTTCACAGTATACAAGTGTCCTGTAGTTTCATTGGTAAGATAAACAATGTTTACATATATTTTAAATGAGCCATAATTATCAGGCCAGAACATTGGTAAAGTTGTTTTAAAAGGAATGGAAAGTGTCATGGGTGTAGAGCAAGAGGAACAGCAAATTTAACCACCAAACCATTGAGGTTTTCCTTACTGACAGGCAAATTCATGCTGCAAGAGTGGTGTGGCATATGTGACCATGTATTAAAAGCAGGGACTGCAACACATCCTGTTCAGCCTGTCAGTTTTTCTTGATTAAAGCGTATCACACAGATACATCAAGTTAAGAAATTAGAAATTAACTACGAGATGTAAAAAATCACATTCTTCTGATCAACCCATAATGCCTGAAGACCATGCACATTGCAAACTCTTAGTTTTGTTTGCCATTCTCTTTTCACTCCAACATATTAATTTCTCTTTCTCTCACCTATGCCAGAACATGAGAAATGTACAGCCTAAAGCTCTTTTGAGTAGCACTATGCAACCAGACCGGTGCTACTTGCACAAAGCTGCTGACCAGCAGGTCAGCACAGAGCCAAGGTCTGTCCACAGAGCCTTTCTCAGGTAGCAGTGTGAGGCACTGGCCTTGCAGAGCGGAGGGACTCACCGGGCAGTGCCTGTGCTTGCGGTGCCGCGGTTCCAGGGACCCGGGAGGATTTGCAGAAGTCACTGGCTGATGTGCTTGCAGGAATCCCACTCCAGGCAATCTGTTCCATGTGTCAGATTGGACAACGGACCAAACAAGGGAATTGGGATCTCAGCCTTGATTCCTCCCCATGGTTTCCAATACACAAACTGCAATAACAGCATTCAGTCCCTGTGCGTCCTTTGTTCCATCCCAGGCAGTAAACTGTGTACCCTGCACTGACTTAACATTCTTTGGTGAACAGTAGCCTTTAATTTTTCATCTGTTCTGTGGTACAAACACCAATTTAATGTTCCTTCTTTTCCTTAATGCTGAGATCACCCTTGGACGCCCACCTGGACACTGAAAGTCAAGTATAAAACAAGTCAAGTTGAGATTTAGCATGTACTGTGGATTAAGCACCCATGTCTTGTTCCCATTTCAGTAGGATACACAGAAGAAAGACAGAAACACACCAAAACAAAACCAGGAGTTACTGTATGACAATTTTTTATTTATCAGTATCAAATTACATAGCAAAGTAATGAATGCAGTGTCAGATCACCTTTTTGAATACTGTAAATACAAACAAAATCCACCATATTGCTTAATTATCTAAAGTAAATTAAAAGTTTAAAAATGTGCGTTTCAGAGATTCCATTTGGCATATCCTGTCAATATATCCTGCATAAATATTTCTGTACCTCATTTTCATTATGTGTACCTTAATGCAGCCTCTAGAAAGCACACATGAGGGAGATAGGACCTATCTGTATGTTTATTTTCATCACCAACTCATGCATCTGCCCTGAAATCACTGAAAGTACCTATCTGCTAGCTCACCTGACAGAAGAAAGTGACTGTACCTATAGACCTAGAGATGTACTGACAGATAAAAGTGGCCAGACCCAAAGCTACTGCCATCAGTGCAAGATGGCTGAATGCAAGATATAATTGTGGATCAGGTCTTTAAATTACTGACAAAAGACTGATATATTTTCATGGAAGCTGGACTATCTGATGGTCAGATCTTATACACTCCAGTATGAATGGAAATTTCTGGGACATTTACTCCACTCTTTATACAGGTCTGACTCTTCTAGATAGACAGAACAACTCCCTGTTTATGAAGTTTAGTTATGAATAAAGTCAAGTCTGTTGATTTCATGTAAGTTGAATAGGATTTGGCCACAGCTGGATACAAACTAGGTAATTCAACAGAAGTATTCTAATGGTATTAATCAGCAGTGTCATTTAAATGGGACTTCCTTGGAAACTGTTTAAATAGAACACTTTTTCCTGATGGATAAGATAATAAGCTTCACTTAGCACTGCTCCCAAAAGTTAAGACTACTGAGACGTGGTAGATGTACGAAATGGAAAACACCATAGAAATATATATTTTGTTTAGAATACAATGAATAGAAGTACAGAAGCGTTGATGCAGGTACTGGAAAGGTAAGGAAAGGGAAGGAGGAAAAATTTAGGCAGCAATCCCATGGCAACACAGAAGTTACTCTTGTTCCCTCCAATTCACCACTATCAGTGGAAGTCAGGCTTCTCTGGGAAGGTGCAACCTGAACGCTTGATAATTACGCTGGCTGCGTAATGTCCAGCCCGGATGCACTCAGTCACTGGCCGGTCATAGACGAGCTGGGACAGAAAGCCTATGGGACACAGTGGGAGAGAAAGAGAAGGAAGAAAATGGTCAGATTAGTTTTTTGAGTGTATCAGTTTACAGGGAAAAGCACTGAAATACTGGCTTGCCTGCATGCACCCCTGCAGCCTGGCCAGTTTAAACTGAGAATTGCACTTGAGTGACCCGCAGGGCTTGAGTGGTGCTGCTGCTATTTCTTTGTGAAGTCTCCATTTGGTAACTTCCAGTAAATTAGAGATTATCAAGACTGATCATTATTAGTGCTCTCAAAATTATTTTAACAGAATTCTTGCTCTCTTCTTTATAGAGATAAACCCTGATCTTAAAAACAAAGAAGCAGTTTTCCCCGCTGAAGAGAGTTCCTTCTGCTCTTAATGGCTACATCTACAGCCCCAGCACAACTGTGTGCAAGCTTTTCTCCAAAAAAGAGAAAGACATGTAATAGAGAAACATTATATTCAGAGTTACAGGTGCTCACAGTGCAAAGAAGGTGAAGAATCTTTACCTGACGAGAGAAGTTAGATGGCATCTGTTGCCTTTGATAATGGGACATTTAATCTAAAAGTTCATCAACAGTGGGTACCCCTGAGCATGTGCAGATACCTCCCCAATCAGCAAACTGTGCCGAGAACCAAGTGCCTCTCAGAATCGGGGCATGCGGTTCATGGCTTCAGCTGCCACAGCCTGGCATGAACAGCTTGGAAACCCAGGAATCAGCAGCAGCTGAGTGCTTTGAAAACCTGAGCACCTCATAAATGAACAGGGGTAGGCAGTCCTAAAAAGGTAATTGGAGAAGTTTAGTACAAGCAGCACCAGAAATTTAATGGATTGAGTCCCTCATTTCTGAAGCATTTTGTCTTGGCTGAAGCTATTGTGATCAAAAGCATGACAGAACTTACAGCAGAGGTGAAATATGTATTTTGAATTTGGAAGAGGTTTTCAAGATGTGAGAAGTAAACTTAGTATAATTTAAAACTCCACTCTGTCATTCTAGAGGTAATATTTTATTCACTTTTATCTTGTTTTTAATATGTTTCAGATGTATCTCTCTTCTTCGTCCAATCACAGAAGGAAAGTGAGACTTGCCCAAGAAAATCAGAATTCTAGCAAGCTGAAAGATGTTCTTTTTAAAGATTTCATCCACCATTTCAAGTTTCTGTCATGCTCAGGCTTTGGGCCTTGACAGTACAAATGTAGTCTTGAAACCAAGTCTCTGCTAAGTACTGTGTCAAACTCATAAATACCAACTTCTGACATACTACAAATTTTGATTTAAAACTGATATGTTTTGCTAGCTTGCTTCCATATTCACTTTCTCTGCTCTTCTGGGTTACTATTGGGAAAAGGTTCCACATTGTATTGTGTTGCAGTCATTTAACCTGTGCTCTGTTTCTAAGTATTTCCTTTTGTGGTACACTACAGCGTAATTTTAGAAGATATAAGAAGTATTTCATCCTATGCAATGATGTCTGCTCTTTGGAGATTAAATACTATGTAAAACAAGAAAAATAAGGTTAGATTAATGAAGGAAAATGCTGGTGAGCAAAAGACCTGTTTTCACGAATTACTAATATCTATCTTGGCCTCTTGGTCATGACTGATAGAGTAGGCAGATTAGTTAAAAAAGTTAAAATGTTTCTGACATCAATACTTTTCTAGAGAACTACATATTGGCTAGAATTTCACAGATATTGACTGACACTAGCTGGGAAAAAATGACTCCTTCACCAACAAAAGGTAAGTCCATAAGCACAAGTGAAGAAGACAGGAGTTATCATATACAAAGACCAGAATCTGAAACAGGAAGAAATTGTGCTGTGAGTGCTATCACTGATGGCAGTCAGGGATGACAGACAACACAGCTGTGGCAGGATGGTCCAGCTGCAATAGTTGGGTAACAGTTGAGAAATTCAAACAGCATGCCTGGCAGAAATCAGATCGTTTCTGAATAACAAGATGAAAATGGTCTGCTCTCCATTAAATTAACATGCATTCTTAGGAAAAACTTTCTTGGATACGTGGAGGGTGTCAATCATTAAATTTAAACTGCCTGGGAGGCAGGAGCTTGCCAGTGTGCTTCTGGGTGGTTAAAACTTGAGAGCAAGTTGTAACCATATGTAAAATGAGGCTGTTAAGACAGTCCATTTCTGACTCAGTAAGTATGAAGATACACTGGGCAGGTCTCCAAAGGCAAACAGGGGGCTAGGTTTTGTGCAGAGCATGAATTCAGAGAGAGGTTTATACAAGAAAGAACAAGTATCCTCTACATTTATGATCAAGGCATCAAACATACATGAAGATGAGAAAATCCACAGAGCAAAGGACCATAAAACATGAATTACTTTTCAATACCAAATAGACACTGTCACTGTCATCACCTCCCAGGCTCACTGTAGTTTCAAGTTAGTATGAGTCTTTTGTCTTCAGTGAAGCTACTTCTTATTTATTCTGATCTAAGTGAAAGCAGAGTCAGGTGAAAAAACATCTTGTTCTAATTGGGGATAGAAATGAGAGATCTCTGTGATTTAAGAGTGTTGCAGAAATGACATTAAGTACAGCTGTCATATATGAGATATATAGAAACTGCAGTGGGGAGTTTGCCCTCAAACCATTCTCTTGTCTGCTGAGCTTCTTTTAAAAGGTATGTGTTTCATAGATGAAATGGAAATAGCAGTATCTGACACAATATCGCATCGAATGACAATACAAACACACATATCACAAACAGAACTACATCACACAGTAAGACTAGGCAGTTGGCAAAGCAGACCCCGAGGGAACACCAGAAAGCAGTGTTGTTTGAGCAGAGAAGCAAAGAGCTCTATCAGGTTGGCTGCCTTAGCTGCAGAATGTTCTTTTTAGTTAATGCAGTAAAAAGCAACATGGTCAGAATATAATTCAGAGTTTGCCTCCCCCAGTGTATAAGGCACGGTGATGCAAACCCCATGAGTCATACTCTCAAGGCATGGATTCAGATCTGAGTTCCAGCTGAAGAAGTTACTCCCCCATCTGTTTTTCACCATGCTGCTTTGCTGCTGGTATAACCTGATACCCTGTCAAAACGAGCCAGATCAGTTTAAACAGTAGCTGTTAAACAGGAGATCTTTGCTAACCCAGCTGATTGGAACTGAAGTGGGTTAGTGAGCACTCAAACAGCCCCACCAGTGAGCAGGGCGGTGGAGGGAAGATGAGAAGCAGTTGAAGGCTGTAATCTCTTAAGGTACCATGATTGGAAATGCAAGAAGTGAACATGGCTTCAGACTTACTTCACACTCCTCCTACAACTTCAGAGACCAAAAGGACAGGGTTGAACTCTGATCCTGTATCACAGGCCTGGAATCACAGACCTAGATCCTC